GACACATCATAATTATTGTAATGTTGATATGCCTACACAAACATTGTTGTGAAATTTGCTGCTTAAAGCTGGGCGATATTCTACCAGTATAAGCAACGATTAGCCTCTTTACCCATGTGTATCACTCCACCCTCAGTGTCAAACAGAGGGCTAAACTAACTATAGTCTGTTTGTGCTGTTGTTGTTTAATAAATGAGTGCGTGCGACGAACAACCAAATCTAAGTCAAAAAATAAATGAAAAAATGAGATAACATGTGACATTACTTGTATGTGTGAACTTTGTATAGAAAAACAGTTCCTGTGACTGCTGTCATGTCTACTTTGGACATTAAAAGGTAAATCTTCGGCAAAAAGGAAGAACCCACATAAATAAATGGAAGGACAGAGTAAGGAAAGCTTTGAGGGATGCTGGGAAACCATATTTGAATTAAAGAGGAGAACAAAAACTAGGAAAAAAAATCCACCAACAGAGATGAGTGGAAGAACTGAATATGTGATGTGATCTCTCTCTCTCTAAATGCGCTGAAGAGTGCTAAAACAACACAGTTAACCCATCAAAATAAACCACATTCAATATATAATGAAGCTGTATCAATGAAAATTTCCGGGCAGTTTTGTGTAACCTACGGCAAGCAGAGTTTATTTATGTATTTATTTAAATTGAGAGCGGAGCACAAAAGAGGAGGGCGGAACTGGAAAGAAATGCTTAATATTAACCTGACGTTTCTGTTATTGCATTAAAGCTAAGATAAAGGAATCAAATCTTTAATGGTTTAAACTGATGAATTGGAGTTTTACTGTTTCCACACCAACTGGACATATACCGTTCTTATACATTATTAGAAATATAAATCACAATAACTTTACAATTTTTATATTGACACTGAATTGAGAAGAGTTTGTTGTCTATCTTTAAGTAAAATAAATATATAATATAATGTTTACAATCCAAATGAAAAAAAAAATCTTATTACTCAAAATGTGAAAATATGGACTTATATGGTTCTTCGTCTCTAGGCCTCAAATGGCACTTGATATAACTTGTAGTAGTATTTAATATTTATTTTGAATAGTATGTCTGTAGTGATCGGCAATTGACATTTTGTTGTTTCAGCCTCATATTGCAACAGGGACCATATAATAAGTTGTATAATAATCAGATCTTCTAAAGGCTTTAAGCATTTGAGACATTTTTAATGGACATTTTTAACTACTGTTATACATGTATAATAGCAAAAATTTCCTTGATTATTAAGCTGGAATGAGAGTACAGTCTCTAGCCATATCAACATACAAAATCTAGAAAATAGCAAACTTGTCTTTTATTGTTGGTCTTAAGGTACTTTCACACCTGTAGATCAATTGTTGTGTTCCGAAACAGGGAATTCAACTTTAACTATGTAGCTTTTTCTTTGTGGTGCAGTTCGCTTTTAAATGGCAAAGTTTTTAAACGGACCAAAATAGTTAAAACAAGTTACTTGCAAGTAAACTCCTCTCACATTGGATGGTAAAGCATTTTGTGGCATTCTGCTAAGCTGTCATACATCATTATTTTAATTTATGACAATGGGATGATAAATAATGAGACCTTATAAGCGAAAAGGTTCACTTTCATTTTGAATAGTGACACCCATAGACATAGTCATCATCAAATATAAATCAGAGTAGAGAATTTATTATGCATAGCCTTATTTCAATTGTCAAAGGTTGTAAAATTGATATTGATTATATTTCATAAATTGAGTTAACCAAAAAGTTTATAACATTCTATATATTTTTAATGGTTCAGTTAAACAGCATGCTTTCGCTTTTGTATTCAACATAAAGTGCATTTTTACCGGTAAAAATTATATTTCGCGCTACTCAACATTCTCTCTTCTTGTAGCCACACATATTCTTATTATATTCTTATTATAGTTTGTAAGTTCATTGGATTGTAATGCTTTCTCACTGCAAACAAATCGCTCCAGAGTCCGCTTCAACCGAGCCAGAACTACTTTACTTAGCATGGATCAGAGCGCAATTGCTGGATTCATATTTGCTAAAAGTAACCACACTAAGTGGGCAAACGATCAGGTTCTGAAACAAACGACTAGGTGTGAAAGCACCCTTAGTAGCCTATATAATGTAACAATCAGACATACTACAAAACAGATCACTTATAGAACAGTCAACTCTTTTTTTTTTTTTAATGTTTCAAGCAAGATGCTGATGCTCTAAACTGATTCACTGATTTATGCTAAGCTAAATGTGCAACTGAAAGACCCAGAGATTGGTATTCAGAAATGTTAACTGTTTAATTCTAGCTGACCTGTAAAATAAGCATATTAAAAGAGGAGCTTTACGTTGCTGTAAGTTACCAAATAACTAAACTCAACATTTAAGGTGAGTTGAGTTATATGCAAATCTTCTAATATGATTCAATGATTTATGCTAAGCTAAGCTAAATGTGCTCCCAACAAACCCAAAGATTGGTTAAATGGATACAAAAATGTTTAAACTGTTTAATTCTAGGGGACCTGTAAAATAATCCTATTAAAAAAAGAGAAGCTATCCGTTGCTTTAAGTTACCAAATAACTAATCTCAACATTTAAGCTGTTGAAAATACTAAGAATTACAAGAGAAGCCATTCCAATTATAGCATTACAGTAAGCTGAAGTTCCCTGGAGTGGTCTATGAGGGTGAACTGAAGTCTTGTGTCCCTGACGTTATCTGGCCTTCCTCCGGCCTCCCAGGAGGATAAATCAGAGACCTGCGGGCCTGTAAATCAACAGGACAGGGCTCTGCAAAGGTCAGGCCACATGTAATTACAGCTAATTTAACTGTGCCAGGGAGATGGAGCTGAAATTTACCACTACTCATTAAAGCCGAGGAGACGGCGCTAATTGGACATCAACCCTCCTGTAACTCACTGCCCTGTTAACTGTCATGCTGAATCGCCTTCATAAGTCACGATCAATGTAGAACATCAGCAAGTGCTTTCGAAGGAGGCACAGCCACGTGCACAGCATAACCGTAAGAGGAAACACCAGCTTTACCCCTCTACTAGTCACATTATGAACACAATGTTAAATGAACTGAAATCGAATTTCTAAAAGATTGGCTGCAGTAAACATTTTATTTGGTGGGATATTATTCTTGTTTATTTGTTTGTCTTTGTTTGAATATTTATTAATATTTTTATGATATTACATTCCAAGACACTTTAAGAAACTTCTCAAAATCTACTTAAAAAGCTTTTTGCAAGGGTACATATATGGCAAAAATAGTTTTTAATTTAAAGGATGGTCACAACAAATGTTGACAATTTTTGCTCATAGTGATAAAGAAAATATATTTATTACATACATTATTTTATATCACATGCATTTATTACATTTTTTTTTGGCAGCATCGTCATTCTGTACAGGTGTCTAAAACTTTATGCAGTACTGTATCTTTGCAGATAGCTGTCTTGAAGTCTTGGAGATGTGTCTGTCTCATTTAATTATTTATTTTTTGTCTGTTCTCCTGTTTTCTGATGAAGTGGATGATGGTGAGATTAGATCTCTGTGTGACTGCTCTCGGACTCTGTGCAAACAAAAAAATATAAAATATTAAAGGCAAAATGAACGTTAGGAAACGTAAACTGATATCCCCTACACAGACAAAAAAATATATTTTTAAAAACTGTCAAAAGCAGATAATGCACAGTGAATGTATGTTTTTTAATTTATTTATTTTTTTGGTCCCACTTTATATTAAGTGTCGCTTATACCTGTGAACTTACATGGTAACTAGATGTGTAAGTAGTATGTAACTACAGTGTTTGTACACACTGGTACATAGTAATTACTTGTGTAATATTGGTGTAACTACACACATGTAACAGCCCACTGAATAGTATGTGTAAGTACAAATGTGTAACAGGACATTGGTAACAACACTAAGAAAGTACACATCTGTAACAAGAATTATGTAAGTGCAATGTGTAACAACAGTATGTACTTGCAGGTGTTTTCTCACTTCCACAACTGTTTGCATACCATGTACTTGTGAACATTGTATGACAGAAATAAAGCTTCATTAGAAGGTCTCACCTTGTGATACCAGTGTAATTACAGGGTAAATCCACATAAACTGTCCACTCAATATAAAGTGTAAAATAGTCAAAAATTACTCTTTAACTTGTAAAATATCCTCTGTGCAACACTTTATTAACAGTGTACTTACATGATAACTCCACAGGAACTGTCCACTCAATATAAAGTGTAAAATAGTCACAAATTACTCTTTAACTTGTAAAATATCCTCTGTGCAACACTTTATTAACAGTGTACTTACATGGTAACTCCACAGGAACTGTCCACTCAATATAAAGTGTAAAATAGTCACAAATTACTCTTTAACTTGTAAAATATCCTATATGCAACACTTTATTACCAGTGTACTTACATGGTAACCCCAAAGAAACTGTCCACTCATTATAAAGTGTAAAATAGTCACAAATTACTCTTTAACTTGTAAAATATCCTCTGTGCAACACTTTATTAACAGTGTACTTACATGGTAACTCCACAGGAACTGTCCACTCAATATAAAGTGTAAAATAGTCACAAAATACTCTGTAACTTGTAAAATATCCTATATGCAACACTTTATTAACAGTGTACTTACATGGTAACCCCACAGGAACTGTCCACTCAATATAAAGTGTAAATTTGTCACAAATTACTATGTAATATATAAAACATAATCCTCCATGCAACTGCTTAACAACAGTGTACCTACATAGAAACTCCTCAGAAACCGTCCACCCAATGTGTACATACTGTATGTAAATAAATTGTAACTTTTTTTTAAAGTGTACTAGCAAAATGGTCACAAACTGTGTAATATAAATCCAAATCGAACACATTAACAATGTACTGACATGGTAACTTCTCATGAACTGTCCTTTCATGTCCTCATATAACTGTAGCAAAGGAAAATGCATGGTGAATCAAAAGGAATAGTATATTTAATATGTAGTGTAACTTTATTGCATTGCAGTTTCAATGTTCTAGAAAAGTAACAGAATATTGTAATTTACACTGTGACTGTAAAGTCAGATTGTTCAACAGAGTGCCAGCAATCACAAAAGAAAAATTTAAAAGAGCAATAAAGAAAACAATCAGTGCTGTAAATAATATCCCAGGATCTATTAAATCAAAACTGTCACATTCGTATTTGATTTTTACTCTGCAACATAGTATTTTACACAAATATTTTTTTTGAGTAAACTATGAATGTATTAAAACAAGTTAATTGTTTGTATTATCAGGAAATTTTAGAATCTGAAGAAATGTCACAATATAAACAGCAAATAAAAGAGAAAAAAATGGCATATATATTTTCAATCAACCCGGTATGCTTTTCTAATGTCATGGATAAGCTGTGCTAAGGCACCTTTACTATTTCGCCTTCCCAGCCAGTAGTGCCACTGAATGAATTTCAAATGTTCTCTCAATAGTTTTGTAGTCTTGTTACCCCTTAATCTTGATACCTGTGCCTTGATGGCAAGCCAAGCCCTTTCAATATGTTGTGTGTGACAGCCAGTTTGGGGATCAACAAAATTTTCACTGTGATTAACAGTTAGGTGTCTGTATCGTAAAGGTTGTAATGCATTCAGATATGCCCTCCAATTGTCACTGTAAACAGTTGACCCCCTTCTGATGTGCCTTGTGATGATGGGCACCAGTGTGGTCCTGGAACGGTCCTTTACCATCTTTAAGACTGGTAGGCGGCGATCTCCTTTAACCTCCATCATCCCAAAAACCCATCCTTTTCTTCTCTGCCAAGTAGTACAAAAGCGGCCACGATTAAACTGAAAAGTAATGAACACAAGAAACAACGGAAATTGTAAGAGCAGTAAAATCTCCCAATGACTGACCATAGTTATTTTTCACCATGCATCTATCTCAATTAACTTAAAAAGCAGTTTAATAATCATCTGAATAATCTTTAAACCAATTGGTCTATACCTAGTTCTTTAGTCTGAGGACAGAACGGCACACTGCTGCTGCTAGATGGCCACTAACTTGTGTGATGCCATTGTGTCTTCATCAATGCATAAAATAGAATTTAAAAAATGCAAGTGTCTGCATTTATTTAGTACACCTTTAATTTCAACCTGATAAATAAATTACTAGTCAGTCCAAAATTTGTTTAAATTTCAAAATGAAATTGTTTAAATTTCTTAAAATATTATGTATAATGTGTAACTCTTGAGTTAGGTATAATAATATAACGTTTTGAAATTAATATTTAGGTATACATTTCAGGTTATTGTCTATTAAATATTAAATAAAGACTGTAAGAACAGATGATTTGCAGAGGGTAATAAAACATGGTGCACACTCAAAAGTGAAAACATAAAATTCACATGAACACATTCAAATCTTTGTCATTGTTTTTCACATTGACATCAGCTTCCTCATATGAGTAGATTGAAGGACTACACAAATATCATTATAGACATTACTTCCCGGAGACACAGGAAAATAGTATAATCTGTAATTATTGGGTACAATCACATGATGTCCTGAATGAAGAAATTTACATTAAAACCGAAAGGGTCACCCCACTGACGTCAGAACATACAGGAATTTGCATTTATACATAAAAATCATATCCCTGCTTTTGATTACATGTGCTATTTTGATGTGATTTTAACTCTGGAAGTATTACTGAATGCAGGTTAATGAACTTTAGTATTTCAACATAGTAAAAATTACTAAGTATACAGTATAAACCTTTTCACATCAAACATACCTTTCTCTTGTGAGCAAACTTGGACTCATCTATGGCCACAAACTTCTGTCTTGACTTTCCACCAACTCTAAGGCCTGTTCTTCTTTTCAAATTACTCAATGCCTTGATGCAAACCTGTAAAAAATAGCCATAGGAAATTTGTACTAATGAACCTAATTGAATTGAATTGGTTGAGTAAGGTGCTGTTAAATGTAAGAGTGAAAAAGCCTGCATTGTATATGTGTGCATATGTTATTATTAAGTTACCTTTCTGAGCAATTTGTTCATTCTGGACAATGTTGTTGAAGTTTTGGCAACACCATCATCCATCAAGTCAATTTGTCTTAAATGTAGACCCTGTGAAAATCTTATAAGAAAATAGTTTTGGTTAATTTTATATATATATATATATATATAAATATATAAATATATATATATATATATATATATATATATTTACAATGCTAGCTTTTCAGATAAAATGTATTTTAGCACAGATATAACACAGATTCTTCACCTATACAATCTCTATTCATAAACAATAAGGAGTGTGTTGTTGAAGTGGCTGGGCAAATAGTATTAAACTATATTTCTTGATAATCTTACATTTATATTACACATGAAAATGACCTAACGAGGCTAGCGATCGACCGCAATGACATTAAGTTTATAATTATTAGATTACCTATATATGTATTCCATCCACTTTACCAAAGGTATTCTGGAGTTATGAAACAGTGATCCTTTGCGAATGGAGAGTGTAATTCTGCGATGCTTGTTTCTTCGGCATGTCCTAAAATAAAAGTGAAAAAATTATGATAATCTATAACACAGTATTCAGGGAAACTTACTTATTTTATTATGTTAAAATTAGCAATCAAAACAGCGAGTTAAACAAGCTTTGTGCTTGACGTTACTTACCATATGTAACCATCACGTCCACTGTGGGCTTTAATACTCATCTTTTTTCCACACTGGCGACAATGAGGTGCTTTACAAAGCAAGCCTTTTCTCTGTAGCCATTTGATCACTAATTTTCTATGTTTTCCACCGCTGCAAAGCCGTATAATCTTGTTTAATTTCCCTGTAAGCATAGCGCTATAACAGATACAGCTAATGTATAACTGAAAGCCGCTTGCCTTGCTTTCCTATTTGAAAATTTGGCGCCTTGTCGATAACTGGCTGTTTACAACGAAACGTCACAGTTGTCACGTCACGTTACGTAAGTTTTGATTGGACTACTGAATGAACCGCCAACTTCCCTATCAGAGCAGACGGTTATCTCTCTCATGATGCGACTTTTTGCAAATTGTTAGCCCTAACTCTTTAGCGAATTTTTCTTCAGTATGCCACGAAAAAAGACGATTTCTTTGAAGAGGAACTGCCCCCAACGCAGCGAAGCTGAAGCTGACCTCTTGAGTGAAGGTAATTTAATCTACAGTTCGATGATTTGTAATGATTTAACGTTAATATTAGTAGTCTCATGCATTAACTCATCTACACTGACTAACAAAGGTTAGATATAAGTTCACTTTTATGTGCAATATGCTTAACCGTAAGCAAGCCTTTACTAAATAAAAAAATTAATGTTACTATACTTAAACTACTTTAAATTATAGTTTATTGTACACACTTTTTATACACTAATAACTAACCATGCTATTTGTAAAACCATATACAAATAGTGCTGAATATGCAAAAAAAAAAAAAACACATTTGCTGATTGTATTTTTAATGGTGAAATCAGTGATCAGCACATTTGACCACTAGTCTATTTAAATTTAATTTTAACCCTTATAAATGCAACAAGAAAATTAATGTAGGATTGAATAATTTTATCATATTAGGACACAATGCACATTTAAATTTGTTTACAAATACACATGTATGTTTTTATTTGTTTATTTAAGCCACATCAAGCTTTTTCTATATTGGTCCTACAGGAAAAAATAAAAGTGGGTAAAATGTTTGAGAAAAAAATTGATAACCAACTGATCATACTCTTGGCGAAGTTAAACCATTTTACATGAAATGTTTTAGAAGTTGTTGCTCCAGTAATGTTGCGGTAGTTTGACAGACAAGAGCAGCAACCATTTTCTTTTTTTGTTTTTACAGAACCGCCTGAATCATCCCAAAAAATTCATAAAGTACACCATGATAAAGACGATGACAATGACCTTTCTGTTGTTGCGGTGGAAACCATAACTCCAGAACCAGGTGAGTTTGTATTTACTTAGAAAGAAATTACTTTGAATGTGCAATCATGGTATAAGATAGACCAAGCCAACGTATTTGAAAATGAACCACATCTACCACAACTGTTTGCTGAAATGTTTTAGCTTTAACAATAAAAAAAACAAAAAAAAAAAAAACAGCCAATACCAGTCTTGTTCTATTGTACTTTTATGGAAATATAAATACTTGATCTTGCACTAATGCCACTTTTATATACTCCATATTACACAAGGTAAATTTTTAGTTATTTAGCAGGCACTTGTATGTACCATTATGTACCAGATGTATGTACCAGATGTATGTACCATAACTGTATTTTGCTACATTGTTTGTTTTTAAAGGACAAGGTGATGGGTCTTCCTCAATGGTGGAAAAAGACAAGCTGATGCTCATGGCCCAGACAATACAAACACTTAAACAGGAACGAGATTTTCTCCGCCAAACTGTCCTAAAATTGTCAAGTAAGAAACCTGTTTTGTTGTATTAACGTGTTTGATTTGAAATTAATATTTACTGAGCAAGTAGATTTTTTTTTTACTTTTTAAACTTTCACATCAATCCTGAACTGAGTAGTATTAATAGATTACATTTTTAAGGCTGGCCACATACTACAGTTGCTGATTTTAAGTTTGATTTGAACCCCTGAATGGGGTTTGACCTATTATTAACTGCTTCTGATCAAGACGGAAGATCCTTTAACAAAAAAAAAAAAAACAAAAACACATTTTATTCTAAACCTCGCGCTTTGTTAAAATTTGGGAGCCACAAACATGTTATAAAAACTAGACAAATTTATTAACCATATTCTTTTTGGACTTAATTTCTAGCTGTAAGACTGTAAGAAACAGTATGTCTGTTTTATTCCATGATTTTAAAATTGGTTAAGATTTGTATAAAGTCTCATCTGTGGCTAGCCTAAGCCTGCTAGCCTTTTTATGTAACTAAATCTGTTTTTTTTCCATAGACAGAGGGGCAAAAAAAGTAAAGAAAGTCTTGGACACAAGCACTGAATGCAGCACCAGTAACACTGATGAGGAGTCCATGACTTCTTCCTCCTCTTCAGATTCACCTGATAGTGATATTCCTCGGAAGAAGAGAAAGAGTCATAAGAAGACAAAGAGGGCCAGCAGGTCAAAATCTACCAAGCACAGCACACGTGGTAAGCATATATCCTGTTTTTGAATGCCATTTTTCTGTTGATGTGTACTTAGTCAATAGAACCCCACATGGAAAGAACCTATATAAACATATATGTTTTAAGATAGATAGATAAAACCTATATAAACATATAAGTTTTGATATAGGTTTTTAATATATATGAAATAAAAAATTGGCCATTTCCTATATTATATGTACATATATGTACATATATGCACATTCATATATGTACACATACTGTATGTATGCATATATGTAGACATATACTGTATGTACACATATATGTGCTTATATGTATGTTTATATGTACATATATATGTTTACCTATATGTTTACCTACATATTAGTTAAATTATTAAAACCTATAGCTGCTAGACAAGGTAAATATAATAAATTGCATTTTTTATTTACTTAAAAACAATCAAATAGTACAATAAAAAAATAAGACAAAAAAACTGAACAGAAAAAATATTTTAAAACACAAAAGCTTTTGTTATTCTTTCTTTTTCACTATCTTAATACAAGAAAGAATTGGCCTTGTAAATGTTTCAGGAAAACATGTAGACATCATAGCTTTTCATCTCCTCACTTATTTGCCATAGTTAAATTCCATAACATGCCAATTACATGTGAATAAAATTTCAAGTGTTGGCACATAATTTTTTTGCATTTTGTTTTTTATTAGTATATCTTGTATGTACATGTAAGGCTTATATGTGGATATAAAGAAGCATTACAGGAGACCTATATGGCATGTATATGCACATATATGCACCTCAGTTTTGCCTATATATGGCATATACATACACATATTTATTATCATATATTAGGTATGGGCCTGTATAAGATTCTTACTGTATGATAACATTGGATAAAAATATCACGGTATCACAGTATTGTAATTACTGCTCAAAAATATTTTCTTTTTAAATGTCTGTGTAAAAAACAACAGTACATTTTGTTTTGAACACAGTATATTTTATTTTGTGAAACATTTAAAATATGTTGGAGCAGTAAATGTGTCGGGCTAAATGAATTAATGAATTTTGCTTCATTTTGTCTTTATTTGTTTCAAAACATGTTTTTTACAATTTAAAATGGAATATGTTCTGCTAGAGATACTGTTGTCCCCCCTTGAAAACTGTTGTACAGTTTTAAAACCTTGACTTTTCCAAACCGCGGCATACCTTGAAAATGGTTATCGTCCCATGCCTATCATATATGTGCATATACTGTATACTGCTTATAGGTTTCATGTTTGTGCATACATCCTCATATATGTTCGTTCCATGTGGGACATCCCTGGAAAAACTAATTCACAATAGGTCATGCCAGGTTTGTGTGGTTTGTGCATTTAAGTATTTGACACACATTGTTTTTTTGTTTTTTTTTTGTTTGCTTGTTTTTTTTAATTTCTTCTTAAGCTTTTATCTTTCTACAGCAACAACCCCTGATGACGTACTAAGGCGGTACAACAAAGTTTTCAATGCCTATAAAAAAGAAGGGAGCATTAGTAAAGCATGTGCCAAAGTTGGGGTTGACCGTAATACTCTCGCATTAACAGCTGTTGTGGCTGAAATTCAGCTTGTTGATGCTGAGTTTTACAGAAGCATCCCTAAATTCAGAACCAAGGAGGAGAAACTTTTTGAGTTTGCCAAGAGGTGCCTGCAGTCGCTGACAACAGACTTAAAATCTGTCATTGAAAACGCCAAACAAGAGCGCAAACTTCTGCCAATAAAGTATAAGTTCAGATAGAAATATACAAATCTCTTATGTGCAGATGTTGTTTAAAGTTAAATTGTAGATTCACATCAGTAGTTATTAATTGTTACCCCATTTGTCGTTCCAACCCCTGAGACCTGAAATGACACTGAAGAGAATAAAATGTAAAATAATGCGTTTTTTGTCCACACAAAAGTATTATCATAGCTTCATAGCATTACAATTGAACCACTGAAGACAAATGTACTCTTTTGATGTTATTGGTACTGTATCTTTCTAGACTTTAAATGCCTTGCAACTCTGGCTTTCTATGGAGGGTCAGATAATTCTAAAATATATATAATATAATAATATATAATAATAATAAATAAATAATCAGCTAAAATATTTTTACAAATAAAATAAAAAAGTAGATTTTTTTATTTTATTTTCTGAATGAAGGACTCGGGTTTGGAATAACAGCAGGGGGAGTAATTAATAATTTAATTTTTGGGTAAACTATCCCTTCAATGTGAATTGCTGTACGTTTAATGTGATATGATGTTACTTCCAACATTTATCTAAAAGTTTTAATTTACTCTAAGATTTTTTTTGTTTATGGGATTATGTTTAATCTCTTTAATTTAATAGTGTCTGTAAGGTTCTATATTGCAGCCATATTTCTAAGGTTTTTCTTTATATGTGTTGCACTGTTGAGTATAAAAATGTTAATAAACATTGTTTACCTTTGCTGCATGTTTTCTCTTTTTTAGTCCTCTATAGTCTACTTATTGAAAAACATTTGTGGATTAATACTTTGGAATTTAATACTATTACTTTTAGGTTCACAGTTACAATAGAATTAACATGGAACATTTCAGAATGTAGGTGAGAAGTACATGGATTCATCAGTGGATGAATCAGTAATTTGTGACAAATTTACACTTGAGTGGACAGTTCCTGTGGAGTTTCCATGTAAGTACACTTAATAAAGTGTTGCATAGAAGATATTTTACAAGTTAAAGAGTAATTTTACTTTTTTTACACTTT